GTCATCTCCTGAATCCATCTGCTTCTCTGGGAGCACACGACCTCTTTTGCCTTCGCTCTTTTGGTTCGTTGGTTCTGCACCTATATTGCACAAACACTTCTTAATGAATCTGCTGTAAAAGATCTATTGATTCAAGTAAGAAGGACAAAGTGCGACGTCATTGGCTTGGCTGAAACGAAAAGACGCCATCCTTTTCATGTTGTTTATGACACCGGAGAAGAACTGTTCCTTGGCAATGCAATAGCAGAGGTGTCAGCGGCGTTGGCTTCCTGGTAAATCAAATTTGACCGTGAACATTGAGATTGTTTTTATTTGACCGCTTCTAGAGCTGGTATGATGTTTTTAAATATACCCAGTGATGAAGAGTGATGTGCAAAACTTTTGCGTCAGGCGTGACCAGAACCCGCACCTCCCTCGTTCCGAGAGCGCGTGCTCTATCCGTTATACTACTGACGCCCATTTTACACACTATTCTTTCTACGCTACAGCGCGGTGTGGGTTCCAGTCCCACCTGTCGCGAAAGTTTTGCACGTCACTCTACACTGCTGGATATAGTTGAAACATCATTTATGGGTACATTTGGATTTTGGATACATTTATGGATATATTTGAAACATTCGAAGTCCTAGAACTACCGTAAACTGGGAAGTAATCATCATTAGTCGACTGCCGTGGTTGACAACATCGACGAAGAATACGACCAGCACATAGAATATGTTCACGTTAGTGCCATGAAAGCCGAGAGTCCGGTCACGAAGAGACGCTTGTCTTTCGCAGACACTCGAGCTGATACGTCAACGTGGAATCGCTCGGAGTACAGGCAGCCGAACCTCACGTCCGAACATGTGAAACACAGCAGAGAAGCGATAAAAGAAGACCTCAAAGGAAGACGAGCAGCATTTAAGGCAGAATCTGCAGAAGCTGGGAAGAGCATTCGCAAAGCCCAGCAAACCTTTGTTAGCAGCAAGGCCAAGATGCTTGCATTCCGACGCCCTGACGGAACACTTACAGCCTACAGGAGGGTAGCGAGAAATTTTTTCTTGACTACTACTCGGATCTCTTCGCTAGCCATATCCTATTAACGTGATATAAATTCAAAGAGAATAATCTATCGTTTCACCGGTTCTCTCTTCCGAAATCCGTCATGCTATTTCGTCGGTGAATAATAGTGCAACGCCTGGTCTGAACAGGATTAAACCAGAACATCTGAAGAACCTATTGCCAGTTCTCATTAGCACCTTGGCTCGGATCTTCACTCGTTCCCTGTCAGAGTGCATGGCTCTCAATTAATGGAAAGCTAGTAAGACCATGTTGCTGTCCGAAAACGGAGACCTTAACAGACGGGCAACTATCGCTCAATGTGCTTTCTGTCCGTTCTCGATGAACTCTTTACTGGTGTCATCCTAAACAGGATTGGCAGAACACTAGACAAGACACAGCCATGCGAACAAGACAAGGTTCCGAAAAAGATTTGATAGCATAGACCACATCCACACGATAAAAGACTCATTGAAGTTTCACGAAAGCACAAGTGATAGCGCTCTGTCTCACTTTCGTCAAAGTGGGAAAAGTCCTCGATTCAGTGGAAAACAGAAGCGGTTATAGGTGCTCTGGACAATCAGGGAGTTTCCTATTCGGTACATAATAATCTTTCGTAAGCTACAAAAAATTTCAGGACCTAGATATCGCCCATTCTCCAACATTATTGCCATTAACGCAAGAAGAGGGCTCAACAAGGCGATACAATCTCGCCATAGTTATTCACTACCACTCTTCAAAACGTTATGGGAACATTAGAACTGGGACGATATGAAAGTGAAAATCGACGGTCGACAATTAAAATTGTCTACGCCTCGCTGATGACAATGTCCTAATAACACCAAGTATCAGCCAAGCGGATCGAATGTTCGCTGATTTCGTAAACGCCTGTGAAAAGACTGGCATCAGCTGAAGCTAGCGAAAACGATGTTAATGAGGAATGGATGAATTTGAATCTTCCATTCACGCCCATCGAAACGAACATCTCCGAATGTTCTAATCACTTCTGTCTAGATTGTGAAATCACCGCGATGAATGACCTAATCCACAGTTAGGCAGGGAGAAAGGAGAGGCTTAGGAAACGCCTAAGAGCATCGAGGATGTAGTGAAGAGGACAAAGAACATTCGACGCCGCGCCCATCTTTTGGACTCTACAATTATCCCTGCCCAACGTATGCAGCAGAAACCTGGTCGCTACGTAAGCAGGATGAAAAGATCACTTGGCGTTATCGAACGCGCAGTCGAAAGGTCGATGCTAGGAGCATCCCGTTTTCGCAAATGAGAGGAAGGACCCGAAGTTCCGATTTACGTCAAAGATCGAAGATCGAAGACGCCGTTCTACACGCTAGATATCGAAAATAAGATGGACCGGACACGTGATGCCCTCAACGACAACCGATAGACAGGAGCCGTTACCAATGGATTCCTCAGGATATCAAGCGCTCCGCACAGAGGACCACCGACCCGATGGTCCGATTCTCCACAAAAAGCCTAAAGAAAGATATGATATTAGTGATCCCTAGAACGAGGAGGCCCCACTGGCTACTCTTGCACGCGATAGGGAAAAATGGAAGTGTTGCTGGTGTTCGCTCGAGTCACTAGACGATCAATAGGACGACAGGCGATACGGGTGAAATGCTTAAGAAAATAATCTTAGCTTAATTCTGTGTAGTCTTCATTTTTTGTTCAAGTTTTCATAAGGCAGTATCAGATTTGACACTCAGCACTCTATACATAGGAAACGTCTGGGCGAAATCATATCGAATTTTCTAATCGGTTTAGAGGTTCCACACATGTCCAGTTGTGAGCAAAATTCTTCAAAGCACTTGTATGACAAAATCTGCTTATCCAAAAAGCGCGGGAATCAGCTAGGGCAATAAATGCATATCAAATTATGAATGACAATAAGCTGTGGAAATGGACCATTCAAGCAAAAATTTCAGTGAAACACCGCTTTTCTAGATGCTCTACCTTGCATTCAGTACCCGCCTTCTTATTTCTAATGTTGAGACATAAAATTACAATTTTCTCAGTAACAAAATAATCGCAATCAACAAGACACCAACGTCAGAGGTGCCTTTTGGGTGAAAATTTTTTAAGAAGATATTAATTTACAGAACGATGCACAATTCTGATAGGAAGCGTTTTTGGCAAAATTGAGAAGAAGCAAAAATAGCATTTGTTAAGCCTCGATCCTTCAATCGTCCGTCATTTTTGCTATGCTTACAGAAACTTTGTTGACGCATAAGTCCGATTGATAGCCAAGACAAGAGCTACAAAATTTCATTGAAGTATCCAAAGAAAGACAGAAATTAGACATCACCGAATGCGCCAATATGAACAAGCAAAAGAGACAGCGAGAATTGGTGGCAGGCAAAGCCACTGCATTAGAGCATCAGATCTTATTACAAAGAGCAAGAATGCTCTGTAGAACTGACAATGTATTAAGATGAGGAAAACAACATTTACGCTACCGAAAAACGCGCATGATGTGACGCTGCGCTACGGCTTTCTTACCCACTATTCAACTTTTGGAGTTCTCATCAACATTCACGCTCATGCAACTCTGACAATAGCGTGCAATTTTTCGACGATGTGCACACAAAGCAAAATTTGATATTGCGCATGAGAGATCTCACTTCATTGGTTTAGCAGTCGCAGACTTGTAGTGATTCATATCACACGAACGGATATTTTTGTATGGATCAACTAAGAGATTCGAGAAGCTGTTGCTTTATGAAGGCGAGCACTTTATTGATACATTTTGTAGTTTGAGCTTCCTAGGTCACGCGAAAATGAGTTAAGCTGTAAGCATTTATAAGTTTCCTATTAGCCAGCTAATATGTATCCATACGATTGCAAGTGCTGCCCAGAGAAGTGTTACTGTAGAGTCGATTCCAATTGCGATACGGAAAAGCTGCCTTCCTTAGAAATGTTGTCTCTAAGTCTTAGTTTGCGTGAATTTTTTTGAAGCTACATTTTGAGGAAAATGCCATTGCCTGTTATATAAAACTGTATTGCGCAGCGAAACAACACAGAACAGCGGTTGGTGCTATCGGTATTGTTTAATGGTGTTGCGCTACATTAGTAGCTAAATTATGTAAAGCTTTCAGTCAACTACGATGTAGTTTACATTCATCACGGAGTTTCTTCTCATGTGTGAGAAATCGGTTACAAATTTGGCGACGTTAAATCATCGGCCGCTTTACGAAATTTTACGGACGCTGAGTGTAGCTGAATAAGCACTTCCGTTTTGTACTGGTGAATTTCTGAATGACGAGGTGTTTCGAAACAAAATTCAACGTACACTTTCCCTACATCGTATCATAATGTCACAAAAGGGAAAGAAAATCTCATCGTTGCCAGCTTTTCACTCAAAAGTCGTGGCTGTTGCTTAATAGACTTCAAACCTAAACTGGAGACAATTTACCACCTCAGGTGTCAACACTTTGCTAGACATTGTAGCAAAGGGTAGAATTAAGGCTTTTAGATTTGCTGCGAGTGGGACTAATTGAGGAAATTTCGGGAGAACAGTGGTCCTGTTTGTAGTGACACACTGAACAAATTTATATTCTAACGTTGTGGAAATTTGTCAACTAACTCTTCTGTCAAGTTCTGCATTACCAATCGATCACATTTCTTTATTGGGTTGAGCCAGAGGCACGATGTGGTGAAAGTAACGAATAGTAATAAACGATAATAGGAAATAGAAATGAAGGCGAAGACACGACGAGGACGAACGATTGTGGACGATCGATTCAGCCCTCATGAAGACCAAAAGCTTCGAAACGTTAGCCGAATATAATTATTTTATCCAATAAGTAGAGTGCTGTGCAAAAACATTTGCATCAGTCAGGATTCGAACCCAGATCTCACTCTTTCAGGAGCGTATGCTAACCGATGCACCCCCGACGCTCGTTTTCCGGAGCGTATGCTAACCGTTGTACCACCGTCCAAAATGAGCGTCAATGGTGCAAACGGTCAGCGTACGCTCCCGCAAAGAGTGAGATCTGGGTTCAAATCCCGGCTGACACGAATATTTTTGCAGAGCACTCCACATTATTGAGTATATTAAAGGATCATAACACCGCAACAAGCTGTCAAATAAATGAATCCGATTGATTATAATTATTAACTCTGACAACCCGTACTTTTGGCCTATTTAACAGAGAATAAATGATTGGACAGTAAGGAATTTAATTAAAGCACAATTCTTCATTATTAATTTGAGCAACATGCCATGTGGTCTGGTGAGGGCTCTTGTACAGCCGAGACACGTGTTTCGTCCTCACAGACTCATCAGCCGGTAGATACCGTCGTCTGTCGATCTTTTTATAGTCAGTTCTCTCGGGAGCGTTACACTCCTTATAGAGAGTTGTCGACGACGTACGTTTACACTCTATGTCAAGCAAAATTTTCACCTAACACAGAGTGTTTTTCGCACTCGATTGCTAGGTGGCTGGTATTTTTATCATATTATACCTACCTTCGAGTGCTTTATTAAGACCACGCTCAAATTTCAATAGATCCTTTCATATTGTTTGAGCCAACATGTTATGTGGTCTGGTAAGGGCTTCTTGTACAGCCCGAGACAATCTGTAGGACGAAGCCACGTTTCTCGGGCTGTACAAGAGCCTTACCAGACCACATAACATGTTGGCTCAAATAATAATGAAAAGATCTATGAAATTGAGCGTGGTCTTATTAAAGCACTCGTAGGATAGGTATAGCAATATTCTCTTTAAGACGTCATCCATCAAAAACCTTGATGAACGTTCTTCTATTTTGTGAGCGACGTGTCACTTTTGATTAGCTCATTGCGAACGCGTGAATTTGTAGAGGGCTCTGCTTTTAGGGCGGTCAATTTTTGTATTCTAAAGCATAAAGGATAAAGCTCTAGGCGTTGATAATCCTGAGGATGTGCCATGCACTCGCTTCCAATTTTTAAACCTCGTTTGAAGTGACTGAATGCATATCTGGCCTTTACAATGACTCGCGGTGGTCCCGCTGAACCGAGTCAGTGCTGCTTATCCTCCCATACAAGTCTGAGACTGCACTGGTACTAATTTATAGACCCGGGAGGAATAGATGGCTTGGTGAGCAATGAGCGCGAGATCAGGATTTCATTGACCTTGTGTGTAACGCAGCACATCTCTAGTCACTGCGCCATGTGTACTCTTCTTAAATGTACTGATCTCTCAACAGTACATGTATACAACTGGCTTAATCAAAAAAATACACTCCCATACATGCTTCTGAACGTCCCAGCTGTTTGTTATCGAAATCAGTGAGTTTATCAGTCACTGTTGAAACACTGCGTTCTAACTTGATTATATAAAAGGAACGCTATGAAGCCATTGATTAGTGCAGCATAAAATCTGATTAGGTCACGGATCAGAAGAGGTGGGCGGAGTGTCACAGCCATTTGATTTTGAGATTTATCTATAAATCACGTAGCATATCAATATGTAGTAAGCCTTATTGGATTGATGCTGGCATAAAGATGAGCTTGAGTGATGGAAGGCCCTTTCTCGTGTGACAGATTTTCCCTTTGGTTTTTACAAGTTATTATACTGTGCTTCAGTTTCTATCCCCATTCCAAGGTTCTTCTACTAGTTGACACAATAATGTGGCATGTAGTAACTTTTATTATATGACTGATTTGGGCGTGTAGCCGAAGCTATGCAGTTTCAGGTCGAATTAACGATTTTCACTTGGGGTTCTCCAGGTTTCCTATGCTTCGTTTCAGTTTGTCCCTGTACGGACGATGATGGTTATTTTGACTCGCCACTCACTTAGTGTCCTCTAAAGGAAAGCAATGCGACGTATAACTCAGACCGTACCTCAAATAGGACGGCGGGGGTATAGCTCAGTGATAGAGCATTCGACTGCAGATCGAGAGGTCCGTGGTTCAACTCCGCGTGCCCCCTAAGGTTTTGAATGTTGTGCCAGTCACGGCCTGGTATGCACTTTTTCCTGGTCCTTCTCAAAATTTTCACATCCGATTTCGATACAACATATCGTTAACCGTTCCTCATTGTAGGGCGTGAGTACGGTTCAGTTTCATGGTATATCAACTGCGGACTGAGAGGTCCGTGGTTCAACTCCATGTGTCCGCTAGACTTTGAGGTGTAGTAGTCATTCACACCTTGCGACTACTTTCTTGTTGCTATCTATGACAATCATCATTATTTGCCTCGGTGGAAACGTAAGCGACACATACGCTGCGTCGTTCGTCAACAGAAATCTGAGGGAATAGCTCAGTGGCAGAGCGATTCTATCGCAGATCGAGAGGTCTGTGGCTCAACTACACATCCACTCTACATATCAAATGCAGTGATGAGGATATCTTAAGCATTATTGTATGTAGCTTCATGAACTCCAAAAAAAATTAGTGCTAAAGAACGTATCAGGAATGAGGGACAAGAAATCGATGTGTTGCCACTACCGTCATAATGCTCAACCGTTCCATGCAGAGCAAGACCTAAACAGTGAAGTTGATTCAAAGTTTCGGATTATTGTGCCGCGAAACCTCCAAAGTCTCTGAACAAAAAATTTGAATTTTGAGAGAATCGAGAACTGATCAGATTAGAAAGCATTAGACTAGCCAATAATGGTAAGAGTGCTGAGCTTGTGATAATTCCTCGTCAGTTAGTTGTAAGAATAACAAAGAAACATCTTATATATGCTTTCCATTCGGCTAACCCCCGGAAAGCGATTCAAAAAACTAGTTCCATAGAATGAATAATAGGTGTTCAAGTAAACATAATAATAATAAGGGTAATAGGTTTATAATGGCACAAGCGCCGAGCTGAAACTTTTTATTTTCCAGTTTAAAATTCAGTTATCAGCATGTCCAATCTTACAAAAAACCCACATGTTAATCCACTGATGATTTTGCCCTTAAAGATCCATCAATATACAAAGTAGCCCCATCAACAGCTGTGCAGACGGACTTACGAACATCATAGCACAGTTTCTCACTCTAATAATATCACAGTTGTTGAAACACGTTCCACTACATCTCAGAAGCATTGAATTGTTATTAGGCCGTCTACGTAGCGCGTCTCTCAGCAGCGCGTGCGTCATGGATTCCTTCAGCTTCATCGCCATTCATACTGAAGTTTTGAATGATTCCGGGTTGTAGCTCATCCGTGACTCCTTATACAACACCTAGGAGCAACAAACATGTCAACTTGTCGCTACAGCAGCTCATAACCTTTTTGAGTGATTGCTTAAACTGATCAATCTTAGATTGTACGGGAAACATTTTCGCGTTCTCTTGATCATAACTCTTTTGGATGATTGCTTGAACTGCTCAATCTTTAGCGTCTGGAAATATTTTCGCACAAAAGAAGTTCTGGCAATGAGACAGCGACACGCCACCATCCATGCTATTGCCTCCATATCTTTAGTGAAAGCTTTGAAATTTGACCGTGTTTGTGTGGTTATCTGTTTCAAGAAGGATGGACAGGTGTTTCAACTCATGAGATGACAGTTTGATGTGCATCAAAGTCACCGCTGGGAGCAAACTAAAACTCGCTTCCAATTCTGAAACGTTCGAATTAGATTTACGAAAGCGGCTATATGATACCAGGTGATACCAAAAGCCTAAAAAATCTCATGACATTCACCCCGCTCAAACTTCACAATACAAGAAAGGCACTTGTAGAAAACGTGTTCGGGCAAACTAGTCAGATGTGTTTCAAGAGGAAGATTCACAGAGGTAGATCCCTAAAACTAGCGTGACAAGTAGGCGATAGTCCTTTGCCGCACTTGGGATAATTTGAGAATTAACGAGCGAGACTTTAAGAGGTCGAAGTAACCATTCCGCGTGCAGGGAGCATAGATATTTAGGCGTGTTGAAACTCTTGACCGCAATGGCAAATGGATCCCATGCCAGGCTCAACGATGAATTGAGAAGATGAGTGGCCTCACCACCACGTCGTGATATCGACCACCATATCTGTACGGTCGGTTGTTTATGGATCTGAATTAGGCCATCCAAGTAGGGCTCTTATACGGGTGGTTGACATGATGTTGATGGGTGCGATCAGGAGTGTAAGAAACCGTAATTTAATATGAAGCCATTAATTATGCTCTTGAGTATTATGCATTAATTTCTACCTGCTTGGTTATGGAAGAGTTCAGCCACAGGGACATCAGTTGCGCGCTATTTTGACTCTCTTCTGTACGCTCGAATGAACAGACGTAACCGCCAAAAACGTCAGACATTTACTATATTATCTGTCTTTTTACTGGATGGACAATTTTGTTTAGCAATCTGTGTGTGCGATCAACAAGTATGATTACCGTGTAATTGTAACCATTCTCGCGATTAAACACCAGAGGACGATAGAACAGTGGTAGAGTACATCGACTGCAGAGTGTGAAAAAGACTGTTTTATAACTCCTCTTGTCTCCAATCTTTTTCAATGTTCTATTCAAGGCAGCCACTGCTTTTTTGTCCTCAATATTCTTAGTCATGTTTGAAAACTATCAATTGCCGTCTTCGATGAGAGAGTAAGCAAGTGTGTGCTAGCCGTTTTCCTTGAACCAGCGGAAGGTCAGTAGGTCGAGGCTCCTGTCCACTGGCCTTTGTGGGAATTTTGCACAATTTCGTCCGACACTCTTGGCATAACGGCATTCCGAAAAACCTTACGACAACTATCCATCCAACTGTTTATGATGTTGAGAAGCACAGTGAGTTGTAATCGCTTATCCACTCTGTACCTTGTTAAGGTTCTCGACCTCGTGCGCTTGTAGATTTATTCACGTATTTTTTAACAGGGCCTGCATTGACCACTTTATGTGTGAATACTTCTTGCACGTCTGAAAAATAAAACATCATTCCATTATCTAATAGGTTGAAAAAAAGTTCTGAAAACATGTTTAGCAACTTTTTTGACGTGCCGGGCCATTTTTTTGTGTGTTTGGACTCATTTAAAAGCCCGTCTCTTTAAACCGTGTTGGATTCGTGGATAATTTATTTACTTATTTCAAAATGGGAGATTAACAAGCGGGCAATTTAGGTTGGTTGATGATGTACGAATAGCTCTTTGGTTCAAATGCAGCGGTTGGCCCAATGAACTAGTCAAGTCAACTATCGGCTTGAGACGCAGAGTATATTTGGCAAAAGTACGTTGTACAGGTGGTTTAAAAAAGTGTGGCGAAGGTGGAGAAAGTTGTTGAGATAGATCAGCCGCCATTCAGGTCATCCAGGAGGTTGATGGTCGAGCGGTGCTTGAAGCGGCTGAAGAGTATCCCTCTTTGACAACACTGTCATTCATTTCTTCAACAGCCAACACAAATGGAATCTTTATGCTCACGGAAATAGATCTTTCCGCCGCAGATGTGGGGACGAAGTGCTTGAAGTTTGAAAGGATATTACTTTGTCTTATTAGCTTGGAAGGGTTATTACTTTGACTAGTGTGCTTTTGTTCTTTGTTCGAGTGTGATAGGTGCATAAATAAACCGTTTTACAAGCATTTTCTCAGAACTTTGTTCCCAACAGACATTATTTTAGTATGCGCCAGCCTGAACACACTTTCTAACTACCGGGTGTGCTGCCTGTGGACCGCTGCGTTAGGACGCCTGTTTCGTCGGAACGGTTGCCCCAATCTCAATATTACTACAAGGCAAGGCTGCACATGCCACGGTACTGACTAAAGAGGAGGGATGAACAAATGGACACTGAGAATTGCTTGAACCGTTCACGCGTACAGTCCCTCTCACTGGTGTCTGATTATCACCTTTTCCAGAGATACGCGATGTGTACAATTCCTCTGAGACAAGGGAGGTCCCGATGGCCACTGTTAATTTGCGTCTAGAATTGACAACGTTCTTTGAATCCAAGAATGACGAGTTCTTGATCGCGCTAATGATCTGTCGCCTGAGAGGGTGGTAGAAATGCGTTCAGGCTGGTGGCATATAGTTTGACGATGTTGTAAAGGCAATTTTAATTACTTCTGGTAAAATAAAGCTAAGGGTTTAATGCCTCTAGTCGCGAGAATATGGACGAGACAGTGGTATTGAAGTTGCGAATCTGGCAAATTGTTCAATTCTTTCTGAGGAGTTGATTACACAGTGCGTCATGGAATGCCACAGGCTTATCTTTAAACAATATTTTTTGTTATAGTAGCAGGTGTTGTTACACGATAATCCATCTTCTAGTTTCGCGTGACCACAGTGGATTTACTAATGTACTTTGTAATCGATTCTCATGAAAGATCTATTCTATGGACTGAGTTGCTAGGTAGCGCTAGGAAAGGATGCTAGTTTGAGCAGCATCATCTGAATATGTTTTTCATTGTGGGCATTGAACCTATGTTTACCATACGCGTAAGGTTCTTATGATTATTGCATTCGAAAATGTACACGTGTTTTTCATGAAGGCATCATACGTCCGCTTTTGCGAATTCTTCCAACTGTAATTGATATTCCCAGAATATCCCAATCACATTTCAAAAAGTTGTTTCTGCTTCTTTGATAGCTTGGGAAAGTTCCTATATATCGGGTGACTACTTGTCTGCAGGAGGTTTTCCTAACCTCAAATGAACAATGCTTAGGAATAAAAGAGGACTTAACCCTTTTTTTTTGCGGAAAAATAACTGCGTTGTCGTGTTGTTGCGCTACATTAGTAGCCAAACTATGCTAAGGCTTCAGTCAACTGCGATGAATTAAGTCTCCATACGGAGTTTCTTATCATGTGAGAGAAATCGGTACAAATTTGGCGACGTGAAATCACCGGCGTTTTTACGAAATTTTTACGGACGCCTGAGTAGTTTAGCCTGGAATGAGCCACTTCGTATTGTACTAGTGAATTCTGAATGACGAGCTGTTTCGGACAAAATTTCTCGTACACTTTCCCCACATTGTATCATAAGGCCCAAAGGGAAAGAAAAGAAAAATCTCAATGGTTGCAGCTTCTCCCCTCAAAAGCGTGGTGTGCTAATAGACTTCAAACTAAAGTGGAGACAGTTTCCACCACGCCACAGGTCACCGCCAGCAACTTCGCTACAAAAGTTGTAGCAAGTGTAGAATGAGCGGCTTCAGATTTTGCGACGGCAGTAGTAATTGAGGAAATTCGGAAAAAGTGGTTCCGTTTGTAGTGACACATGAACAAATTCTATTCTAACGTATGAAGATTTTGTTAACAATTCTTCTTCAAATTCTTGCATTACATAATTAATCAAGGGATGTGGTTGAGCCAGAGGCACAAGTTGGTGACACAGTACTAATAGCACAGAGAACAAGCAGAGCCACAGTAAGAAATAGAATGAAGAGGAAGGGACCACGACGAGGAGAACGAAATGTGGGACGAACGGTATTTCACCGACCTGAAGAAGACGAAAGCTTTTTTGAACGTAAGCCGGGAATATATTATATGCCCCAATAATGTGGAGTGGTGACTGTGCAAAACAACAACCCGCTGCTGTCAGCCCGGGATTCGAACCCGGATCACAACTCTTTTCAGGAGCCGTATGCTAGAATGTTACACTACCGACGCTCGTTTGTCCGAGAGAAGCGCATGCTAACCGGTGTAAAAAAAAATCCGTGTAAAAGGAGCGTTGGGGGAGCAAAACGTCTAGCACACGCACCGGAATAGAGTGAGATCTGGGTTCCGCAATCCCTGCTGCACCAAAAGTAATGTGTGTTGCACAGACCCACCATTACTAGTGTATTAGAAAGATAATACCAACGCAATAAGGGTCAAATAAATGAAGTCCGATTGATTTTATTCATTAATCTCTGGACAAATTGTAACTTTTGGCCTATTTACATCCATCAAACCTTTGATGATCGTCATCCTACTTTGTGAGCAGCGTGTCAGTTTCGTTAAACCATGCGAACGCGTGAATTTGTAGAGGGCTCTGCTCTAGTGCGGTTCTCAAAATTTTATATCTAAAAGGATAAAGGATAAAGCTCTCGGCGCTGATCAACTCCCGGAGGGATGCGCAGCATCCGTCTCATTTTAAACTTCGTTGTGAGGGTGGTTAATAGCATATCTGGCCATGAAACGACTCGTTGTGGCTCCCACTATATCGAGCCAGTCTACTTATTCTCCCAGACAAGCCCGGACCAGTCTGGTACCCAATTACCGACCTCGGAGGGATATGGATGGCTTTAATTGAGCCCAATGAGAGCGAGATTCGAACCATTGACCTCGTGTGCGCGCAGAGACCTCTAACACTGCGCATGTGTGCTCTTCTATAAATATACTGACATTTTCAACAGTATATGTATTACGGCTGGCTTACATCACAAGAAATAAACTCCCAAAATCCTTGCTGAACCAGTTGTAGTTTATCGAAAGCAATGGTTTATCAGTAAACCGAGGAATAAGCCCCCCCCCCGCCTCTAACTGAATATATTAAAGGAGCGCTATGAAGACATTGATTAGAGGAGCATTAAAATCTGATTAGGTCCACGGATTAGAAGAGGTTTGGCGGAGTGTCACAGCCAATTAATTATCAGATTTCCTCTCTATTTATATACATTGATATTTGTGTTTACATTATGTATTGATCTTGATTTTATTTTTATTTAGGTATTTGTTACATTTATTTTGTTGGTTTATTTTAAATTTTATTTGTTCATTTATGTTTATTATATTTATATTTACATTTTACCTGTTTAGATCCCTTGCCATCATTATGTAGTAAGGCCTTTTGGACTGATGCTGGAATAAAATGAGCTGAGTGATCGAAAGGCCTTTTTCCGTGGAATTAAAGTTTTCCTTTGGTATTTACAGATTATTCATACTGTGCTTCAGTTTCTATCCACGTTACAAGGTTACCCATTACTTCTGAGAAAAATATATGGTATGTATTGACTTTCTGTGTAGACGGATTTAGTCGCTTGTAGCCGAGATTAGCCGCTTAAGGTTGAGTTACGATTTTACCTAGGGTTCTCAGGTTTTCTACACTTCGCTGAAGTTTTGTCCCTTCACGGACGATGAGGCTTATTTGACCCTCAGCTTTTCAAATGGTTTCTTTTTTCGCTGTGTGTGAAAAAAGATTCTAATCCGAGATTAGGTGGACCATTGGAAAGCTCAAATCGCAAACGATTCCGACGCTACGTTTGATTTCAGAAATATTTTTTGGGACACGCTGTGTAGCAGCAAAAACAAAAATTATGTTTCACATTCGGTTTGTCCTATTTGCTCTTCTAAAAGTATGAGACCGCTTTATTCTAGACCACACTAATCTTATTCGGATAGCCCAAATCTCGACGGATTTCGAAGCGTTGAGTGATTTTCAGAAAGTTTTCTTTAGAGCACGTACGAGCCAAAATAAAATTACATTTCACATCTGGAGTTGCTTCGCAACCAGAAGTTTATATGCGCAAGGAGTAGACAAAGTGTAGAGAAATCATTGTCTATGAGAATATTATGAAATAAACCTGGTAGTATTTTTGAAACAAGGAGAGAAAAGGAGGAAAAAAGAAACGAAAATCACGCGTTATCGAGATATCGATCTTGCCGCGTCCACAAAGGGATATATGACTTTTACTATGCTTCCGCTGCTAATTTTTTGACCTACCCGGTCATTACAATTTCTGTTATGGCGGATCCCAGGAGGACTTTTCGTTCATTTCCTTGTTTTCTTCATGAAGGCGCAGCGTACTGGTCGGGGAGTCTTCTACAATCGCGAGGATAGCCAGGCTGGGCGTTCCAGGGCTGGCGTCGTTATTTACTGCCCGGAGAGGGTTGGGGGAATGAACTCGGGCTTCCACATGCGACGCGACAAGAATCACAACCTCGGACAAGCGCCCCCTCTCTTTTCTTCTATTGGTTCAATTGCATATACAAATGGTTCTAAATACGTATCGATCCATCGATCTTTCTGTGTTTCTTATTGTTTATTCAATTAATAAATGATTTCGGGTTCTCGGAATTTCTGACGATACTAAGACGGGGCAGTGATGATGTGAGTTTTACAGAATTTGTTCTGCGTTTCTTTTTACCTTATCGGCGATTTTTCTCCAAGTGTCCTCAACCAATGTATCTCACTGCTTAAATGGCACGCCATGTCAGCCGCTATGCATGATTTCAAGCGTACGCAAATCTAATGGCTCTTATCAAGTTAAATCGACTTATGTCCTTAGCAAATTATATCGAATGAATTGAATTAGCGTTTTAGCCTATAATTATTGTAACACGCAGCATTTTACGATTTTGTTTGGCATTGCTCGGATAGCTTTTATTGCCATCATTTTGTAATCTTTTTGTGTTTTGTATATATGTCAATACCAATGTTCAGTGCTAATCAATAACCTAATCAATATGCTCAGTGGAGAGCTCTTTGTGTGTACCACTCATATCGAGGAAAAGTTATTTTGTTTTCTGAATGAAACTGT